AGGGGCTGACCTGGGGTTCAGGGGTCTCTCACCAGGCACCCCGTGCCTCTCCTACCCCCATGCAGTGCATGAGACCTCCAGGGAGAGTCTTGCTCTCTGCCGACTCCATGGGCCCTCCAAGAATAAGGGAGGGGTCATGGGTGCATCCACTGATCATAGGGACAGTCTTTCCCAAATTGGAGTGTCTGAGGGGACCTGGCACCTTGAGTTGGGAGGTAGGGGCTCATTTGAGACAGGTGGTAACAGCCAACACCTGGGATCCCCAAGACCCAGGCCTGTGAGCCCTACCTGGCCCCAGGGCTATGGGGGTTGCCAACCCTGCATCATGGGGAGAAGGGGAATTCACTGCCCGAGGAAGTCCATTACTCCAGCAGTTCTTTCCTTCCCCAGGAGGAGAAACCCCATGGTGGGCACCACTGGAAGTAGGTGCAAGGAACCCAGCGGGGGTCAGGGGCTGTGAGGGAGACCAAATAGGCTGGGTGATGGCTGCCTGGAGGGGTGGACCAGAGGGACAAGCATAGGGCTGGGCTGGGGGATGGAGGGTGAACACAGGGCTAGAGGGACAGATGTGGGCAAGAGGTGGCTTCATGTGCAAGCAGGCAGTGGCATGAGGCCTCTCTAACCCAGACTGTGTCATTTTCTGGCAGCTTGAGCTGAAGGTGCTTTGAGCCCAACTGGCACAGCAGGAGCAGGACATGGAAGTCCTCCTGTCCCGGTAGGTATGGGGCTGGGGAGGGAGCTGGCCATTCCCGTTGTGTGGCACAGGGGTTGGGGCATAAGCCCAGTACCCATCCCAGCTTCTGTGCAAGTCTCTCCTTCGGGAAGGGGTGTTTTCTGGGATGGTGCTGTCAGTCTCTCTGAGCCCACAAATGTTTTTTGTCTCCACAGTCCATGGCAAAGGGAGGAGCAGCTCCTGGTGAGTTTGCACATGGCAGAGGCTGTCAGGGTCATGTGGCAGGGGAGGGAAGAGGCTGAGGCCAAGCTTGACCAGGCAGGGTGAAATCCCAGAGGATGCTGAAGCTGTGAACAGAGTCCTGACATTGCGTGTGGGGAGAGGTAGTCCCTGATGGGTGACAGGGAAGTAACCCTGCTGGTGCAGAGGCCCAATATGCTGGGTGCAGGCATGGGCAGGCTCTGACGGGCTAGGGTGATTCTTGTGTAGGCCAAAGTGGAGGACCTGAGATGCCAGAATCTCTTCCTGATCCTGGCCCTTGAAGCAGGGCCAGGCTCTGGACAACAGCCCGACAGAGGTGAGCTGCTCTGCATGCCCCTGCCCCAGGGGGGCAGGTGAGTGTGTGTGTGCCTGTGTGTGCACAGGGAAAGCCTGTACCCTGCTGTGCCAGGCCCAACAGGAGAAGGGACAGGGGTTGCCCTGGCTCTGTGGCAGGGTTTGTGTGTGCAGTGCTGGGTACCATGTGAGCTTTGTGGATGTCACACTGTGGGACGGGTGGGGTGACATGTCTGTGCTGCACTGACATCCCCTGCTTCCCAGGTTGCTCTCCTCCAGGCTCCCCCATACTCTGCCAGGTGCCAGCTTGTGGCCAGGGGGCTGGATTTTCTCTTCACTGCCATTTTCCTTTTTCATTTGCAACAGCCTCCTATGGACATGGAGGGGATAGCTGAGGAGTACTGGCCACCTTGAAGGGGATAAGTGGGGGACTGGGAGGAAAGGGTGAGGTGTGGGGCTCTCCTGGGTAGCTTGTGGGCTCTGGCGCAGGCTATGGGGTGTTGCAAGTGGTGCTGTTTGCAGGTAGGGGAGTTCTTCCTTTTCTGGTGCTGGTGGGGATGAATTCAGCCCAGGACCCATTCCTGACCTGTTCCTTTTTGTGCAATCGGGAGTATTAGCTCCCTTCAGGAAAAGGAGGCAATGTCCTTGCACAGCACAGGGACCCAGACCAACGTGCCCCTTAATGCAGAGGCTAGCACCCAGGCAGAGAGCCCCTGGCATAAACGCGCCAGCACCCAAACCAGGGCCCTTTGGCTGACTGAGGTGGGGTGGCAGAGTGAACCCCCTGCCAAAGATAGAGGCAAGCACCCAAACCAAGGCTCACTGTCATCAAAAAGAAGTAGGACATGGGGATAGGTATGATGCTTTTCATACTGTTAGTTTGTGAGCCTGGGATCAGAGCTGGATGGGAGCTGGGTGATGATCAGGGCCCCTTTTGCCTCCAGGCAGGCCAGGATGACCCATGATGGCCATCCCACAGGGGGTCAGTGCCCTGTACCAAGGAGTTGTCTCCTGTGTCAGTCTCTCATCATCTCTGGGCCTCCAGATCCTGTGCTCAGGTAGCGTGTGGGCCACATTTTGGAAGGGGATTGCCCCCAGGCTCTATGAAACCCCAAGAGGCTGGTGGGAGGGGTCGGTGGGGATGTTGCGCACACCAAGTGATGGTATCCTGGTCCCTTCTGCCTCCATCCATCTGGGGCTGAGTGGAGAGCAGGCTGTTCAGGTCTACTGGGGAAGAGGGCTGATTTCTGAGACAGCTCCATTTCTTTTTTGTCTCTGCAGTCCCCAACACAGACAGGGGAAGCTGTTGGTGAGTGTGTGTGGGGCAGGGGCAGCAGGGCTCTGGGACCCTCAGGAGAAGGCCAGGGATGGGTAAGGGAGCCAGGAAGGGAGCAGTTCCAGAGGGGAACCCAACAGGGTCCTGACACACTTGGTGGAGGCCTGGGCAGGCACGGACAGGCTATGCACCATCTCATGCAGACCATGTTGGGAGAGCTGTTTGGGTGGAAGCTGAGGACGAGCAGGACGAGGGGGAGCCATTGCTCCTAGAAACCCATGCTAGGGAGAACGTCAATGCAGAGATGAGCCCCTCTATGTTCCTGTCCCCTGGTGCTGGAGAGGAAAGGGTATTGTGTGTGTGGGGGGTGGGGCCGGGTGTGTGTGGAAAAGGCAAGGCTGTGCCCCCCACTCTGGATAGCCCCTGAAGGGGGCTTGGGGAAGGTGGCACCTTCCCAGTGTTTTGTGGGAGGGTATGTGTGCATTGCTGCGTGTTGTGATGTTGGGGTGTCCCACTGTGTTACCCATGGGGTGTGTTGTGTGGTGCTTGAGTCAGGGGCCGGTGCTGCACTGACCTGACCTCATTTTTGGGTTGGTGTCCCCCTCAGGCTGCCACCAGGGCCAGCTCTGGGATAGAGGAGCTGGAGGGTGGATTTCATCCTCAATGGCATTCAATATTTTTAGTTGCAAGCGTAGCCCATGCATCAGGATGGGATGGCCCTGGAGGTCTTGCCAGCCCTGTGGGAGTAAGTGGGGGATGGTGGGGAGGAGGAGGTGGTCCCACAGGGGTATGTGGAGGACCGGACAGGTGGTGGGGGCATTGGGGGTGTCATGCGCAGCATTCCAGCTGCAGGGCAGGCTGGAGGTGCTGGGAGCAGTGGTGTTCATAGGTAGGGGAGTTCTTCCTTCAAAGGGGCTGTTGGGGTTGAATTCAGTCCATGATCCATCTCTGACCAGTTGCTTCTTGTGCAGTCAGGAGCAGATGCTGCTCCCAGGAGATGGAGGCAGGTGCCCAGGCCAGTTTGCCCCTTACCATCAAGGCCAGCACCCAGGCAGAGGGACCCTGGCATGAAGACACCTGCACCCAGACCAGGGCCCTCTGCCTGGCTGAGGTGGGGTGCCAGGCTGACCCCCTGCTGAAGTTGGAGGTGAGCACCCAGACCAAGGGTCATCACGGGCTAAAATGGAAAGGACAGGAGGAAAGGTATGATGCCTTTCCCAGTGTTAGCTTGTGAGTGTGGGATCTGTGAGGGGAGCTGAGGGAGGGCTGGAGCCTGGACTCCATTCCTGGTCCTGGGAAGGGTCTAGCAGGTTGGGGAAAGGACGGGCTGAAGGTCAGGACCCTTGGGTTCCTTTCCAGCTCTGGAAGCCTTGGGAGGGAAAAGGTGAGTGAAGGGGAAATGACTAGTGTGTCTTCAGTAAGTGCCTTGCCCACAACTCCCTCCAGCACCCTGTGTGTCTAGGTGGGGCAGGGCTGGGGCAGGAGCTCCGCAGGCCTGGGCTTTCTGTGCTAGGTCTGGCTCCTGTTGTGTATATCCAGACTGCACCCAGGAGCCAGACCTAGGCCCAGGCAGCACAGAGGGAGGAAGGGAGATGTGTCTGGTAGGGTGCTCAGGGCTGGTCCCCTGGCATGAAGACACTTGCACCCAGTGGAGGGTGGTGGAAGTAGCAGGGTCCTTGGGGTTTGAGGTGTCTGTGATGTGACCAGTGTCTCTGCCTCCCGCCTCCAGTGCTGACACTGCAGCAGAGGGAGGAGGAGAAGGTGGGGAGCAGCGAGGTGAGTATCCCCCAGGCCTGAGGGGCTGCCCCTCTCTCAGCCCAGATGATGATCTGGTGCCTCCTGTCTTCAGGCCGCTCAGGATGATACATCCTACCACTCTGCCAAGGCCCTAGCGCCCCATATGGACTGGCTATCTCCTGGGTTGGCACCTCATTGCCCACCTCTGGGCCCGAGGACCCTGCTGCCAGGGGTTCACCCCAGGGTTTGGAGGTCAGAGCTTCTGACCCAGGCCAGGCTTGCTGGGGACAGAAAGCCCCACTGAGCCATGTGTGAGAACCATGTACTGCTCCCTGCCGGGGAGACTGTCCTTTGCCCTGTGGCTGTTCCCTGAGGGTGAGTGGAGGGGCCGAGATCCACCCCTGTCCCACTCACACTAGTTTCTCCTTGCCTGGTCTGGTCTGCACCCCACACTGAGCATGCCCTGGCTCTGCCCCTTCTCCCACAGGTTCCAGCTGGCCTGGATCTTCCCCTGCTGTTTTGCCCTCAAGTGGTGAACAGTTGTATTCCCCTCCCCTTCCACCTGTGTCATCCCCTCGCTTCATCCTCCTAGGCCTGATCCAGGATGGGCCCACATGATGCCAGCATTGGTGCTTCTGCCTCTCTGAGCATGTAAGTAGTTTCTGATTCCTTGTAGGTTTCTGCAGCCTCTTTTTTTGTCTCCTTGTCTTGGGCCTGCACACTCCAACTGAGGGGCCGTCATGACCTTAGGGCGTCTTAGGGCTACAAGGAGCCATGTCCTATGAATGCGCCCATAAGCCAGGCAGGCTACAAACACACCTGAGCTATAAGGTGAGGCAGGATGCAAAAGTGTGAAACAACAAAGAAAGGGGCATGGTATGAGCCACTGCTGCATTGCTCGTTTTATACCTGTTCAGCTTTCTGGCTTTAAAAGGAGTGTCCTTGGCCTAGATCTGGACAATCAGGTCTGGACTGGACAGTCCAGCCCAGCACACTGCCATCAGACTGGTGGCAAGATTTTCAAAAGGACTTAAGCAACTATGAGCTTGACATGTCCTGCTTTGATCCTTCTGAGTGAAGCATTTCAATGCTCTTGTTGGAATGACTTCATTCAGGATTTGTAATTTGAATTTTAATTTTTGTTTTCATTTTAAACTTGGGGTTTTTTCCTACAAATTCCTCTTGAGGCTGTTTAAAACCATTTGGAAAGGGTCATGAGTGTCTCTGGAAAAGCAGGAACTCTTTGGAACTGGTTCACAGTGTACCAGTGTTACTTATGGCCTTGTTGTATGGTGAACATCCCCCAAAGTGTCCTGGTGGAAACTCCACATTCCCTGGAAATACTCTCTCTCTGCCTTGTCCTCAGAGCACAAATGTGAATAGGGGCTTAGACATTTTTGTGGATGGCTCCAGCTTTTATGAGGAAGGAAAATGCTCATGTCCACAGGGCATCAGTCAGACAGCCCTGGGCAAGATGAATTAACCAGGCTATATGCAGGCTGATCCATCCCTTACCACTCCTCTGACCCTCAGCCCATCGCATCCCCATTTGCTTGTAGCATTCAAAGCCCTAGGAAATCTTAATGTTGAGATTGCCCCCCCGCCTCTTGTGTAACCTTGTGTTGCAGAGCACTTAGGTGCCCTGTACCTGAGAACAGGGACGGCTCAAGAGAGGCCCCTAGCGGTGAGAAGGGGGAGGTGCAGCTGCCAGTCACCAGGGCAGCACAGGTGCTGGTTGTTCGGGCAACCGGCGAAACCCCCTGACAGGAAGGGGCAGGGCTTAGCCCTTCTTAAACCCAGGCAGGAGGCTAGGGTGGCAGTTCCTCCTCAGGCAGCCAAGGAGTGAGGAGCTCAGCCAGTGTGGAGAGAAGGCCAAGGTTTGGCTGCATGAGTATCCGCGGGTTGCTGCCATGAGCTGGAGTATTTTGCCTGTTATGGATTCTGACCGGACGGTATTAGCTTTATGTTATAGCCCGGGGGCTTTGGGTTTTGTGTTTACTGTTTAACCAGAGGACCGGGTGAGGCTGTTGGGGGTTGGAGGAGGCCTCATAGGGACTCCCCAGTAGCGTGGGGGTTCCTGGTGCCGGAGAAGGCACAGTGTTTTGCAGGGTACATTGGCCTAGCCCCGAGAGAGCGAGAGAGAGGGGGCAGAGGAGCCCCGAGGGGGCAGAGGACCGGTGAGGAGCCCCAAGAGTGCAGAGGGGTGGTGAGGAGCCCTGAGGGCAAAAGGAGGGCCGAGACATAACAGGGACAGAGTCAGATTACACCAGCACCATCTGCGAGGCTTGGGCTGCGGTGTAGGGGAGGAAAAGGAGCCGCAGATAGCACCCCCTGTCATCGGGGCGCGTATAAATGGGCAGCCTCCCGCTAATTACAGCAATCTATTAATTAAATAAGATCAAGGCATGGCAGGCGAGTAAGCAGGCGGTTGGCCCATTACAGGAGGGCGGAGCCTTACCCAGAGAGGCTCCAATAGTGGCACTCCTGTCACACCTTGTAACAGGCCCCTGCCTGCTGCACCTTGGCACTGTGGCTCAGGTGGCCTGGCTGCGATCAAGGCACTAACAGCGACCAACTGGACCGAAGGACAGCACTTGTGCCCAGAGAACTGGATGGATTTCTGTTCCTGAACAAGTGTTCACAATATGATCTAATCATCACAAAGCAACTGAATGAAACAGTGAAACTTATGACAGATACTTGCAAGTACACTCATGTTCCTTGGCTGTCTCTTCTAGCTCATATCCCTCCTTCTCATCTTCCACATAAAGAGTCTAGATGAAGAGTCTACAAAAAACTGCTTCAAGTCACTACCAATTTCTGAGGAAATGAATGAACCCCACAGGCCAAGGTTTATGTCAAGAAGACCATTTTGGAGCATGGGAAAAGAGCTGAATGATGCAAAGCTCTGATATCAAGAAAAATGGATCCAGCAATGGAAGACAATTGACACCCTTAATAATTTTCTAATCACAGACCCCACAACTAAACCTCCTGGTTTTGCTTTACTAAGGTAGAGCTGGACTACACTGAACAAGGTTCATCCTGGACAATGACCTACTTTGTAAACGGAATTGCATTAAAGACCCCAAGTGTGAGTGTGGTGAAATCCAAACTGTAGCACATATCATAGAGGAATGTCCTGTTTATCTTTGTAATGATTGCATTGAAGACCTACACCAGGCTACTGATGATGCCTTGCCATGGATATCAAACCTAAAACTGTCACTCTAGTCTTGTCCCTTAGTGCGATTGTTTATAGGTTGCTTGTAGCTTGTTCTATTATTCGGTTGCTGTATTGCATATGAATAAATCACAAAGCAACAACTGGAAGCCAAGCACCCCTGCTCAACACCCTGGCTTCTAATTGACAATATCATAGTGTGACATCCACCTCAGCACAGCTACGACCAGAGCAGTGCAGGACTCCAACTGCCATAACGGTCATAACAGAGGCGCTCATGTCGCGGCCCGGTCAGATCCTGACAGTCTGCAGGTTCTGCTGAATCCCTGTCATCAACTATCTCAGACAGGACATGAGAAGAAGACGAGGAGAAGACCAGCCCCAAAGGCTGCTGGATAGATCCTTGTTTGATATCTTCCATCATGCCCATCCTTATGGCCACAAAATGATGTAACCCAAAGACACAACCAAAGAAGAAGTTCAATGTCAAGTGCTTCAAAAACCCTGCTAAAAACATCACCTCCAGCAGTGGTCTGAAAGCTTGCAGAAGAATTAATCAGGAGTGGACATGACAGGATACCTGTTGTTCCTCTTAGGACCTAGGCCCTCAGACAAGGAAGCAGTGAGAGTCACCCTCAGCCTGGTGCCTATGTTCAGACAAGGCCTGGAGGAGTCCTGATGTAGTTGAGAAGCTCCGTGGAGATTGTCAAGGGACAATGATCAAGATGCAGCAGAGGAAGCTTAGGTTGAAGATTAAGAGGAACTTTCTGACTATGAAGGTGGCCAAGCATTGGATCAGGCTACCTAGAGAAGTTGTGGAATCTCCATCCTTGGAAATTTTCAAGAGCAGATTTGACAAACACTTGCCTGGATTGGTTTAGTCAGGGACGGTCCTACCTTGAGCAGGGGACTGGACTAGATGACCTCATGATGTCCCTTTCAACCCTACTTTCCTATGATCCTAGGGGTAGAAAGAGTCCCTAGGGGGCATCACTTTTGTGGTGCCGTGACAGTTTTAACCAGGGCACAAATACTGAGAAAATACATCACTACCCTTTGTTGCACCACATCAGTAATGTGACACAAGGTACTAATAGATGGTGCTGCTTTATTGTGGCAGGTGTCTGTTTGTTCTGTGGCAGGAGACTGTAGGCAGCTTAGAGCTGCCTGCATGCTCCTCTTACCCTTGGCATGTGCTCTGCTGGCTTTTGAGCCTGATCTTGCACATCCCAGGTAGGATAGGGCCCCCAGAGCACCTGCCTATTTTTCCCCACATACAGAGATGTGTCCCACGGGTACATCTCCAGAAGCAGAGAAAACCTGCATGGGTCCTGGCATGGAGGCATGGGACCTGGGGAATGCCAGGCACCCCACATGTCCATCCTGGGGCCCACATGACCCCAAACCTCCATGCTAGGATCCTCACTGACCCGTACCACCAACTGAGGCACAGGTCAGTGCAGGACCTGACATGGGGCAGCAAGGGACCCAAGGAATCCCCAGGCAAGGGGAACATATCACCCCTTGTTCTGTATCAGGCAGGGGACCTCATGTGGGGCAAGCGTTGATGTGTGTGTTGCCCAATAAAGTAGATCAGCTGGAAAAACATGTCTGGCTACAGCTGAGCCACTTCAGTTTGGCAATGTAGGTTTCTACCGTATGATCCCACCTATAACAACCCATGAGAATATCATTGCAACTGCCCAGCTCAGCTAGCAGAGGGAGTGCCAGGTCACCAAAGCACCTTTCCTTTCTCTGTTACCAGAAGCAAGGATTTGTGTGGGTGATACCTTTTATTGGGCCATCTGCACGGTTGGGATAGACTTAGGCAAGCTTTCAAATGCAGGGCTGCCTTCTTCAGGTGACTCGCATTCAAAAGCTTGCCTAAGTCTGTCCCCACTGAGGTGCTGACCCAATAAAAGATATCATCCACAGAAATCGTTGCCTCTCCCATATCTCCTGGACAGTCATAGCCACAAGATTGCCCCAGTGCTACCTTTCTCTACTATGCCAGTGTTCCAACACGGCGACATGAGACATGGATTCCTGGTTAAGAAAAGACAAAATATGGGACATTTAACCCTCACTCACCTTTCTTGTTGGGACATGGCTGCTGTAGTGTCTGCTCTGGCAAAATGTAGCAGTGCCTTGAGGCTGGCCACTTGTGCCTCTGTAGGCAGACTGCAGTGTAGGGCAGTTATAGGTTAAAGCTGGGGATGGGGGTTAAAATTGCATTCTCTTTGCTTGCAGTTTTTCAGCCATGGAATTAAGTTGAAGCCACTAGACTAAGGCCCAGATTCTAAAAAGTACTTGATCACCTGCCTGTCTCAGTAGACTCCTAAAGCCAATGTCTAGGCACCACTGATATCTTCAAAATTGTTACCTAGTTGTCCATGTGGCCATGTGCCTTAGTTCCTGCCATGCAGAAAACTACCCGAGAACTGATGCTGCATGGAGGCCTCACTGAAATGGAAGCTCAGAGACCGTCCAGCAGGATTCTCATAATAGATGTGTCCCTTGCTTATCTAAGTAGTTGGATCGGAGCCTCCAGGCTTCAGTTGAGTTCATTTTCCCTTCAGTTGAGTTCATTTTCCCTTCTTTATTACCAGAGGTGACATGGTCCTGGCACCATGTCACCTCTGGTAATAAAGAAGGGAAAATGGTAATATAGCACTCTTCATACATAGGGAAAAAAGTTGTTATAAAGAGGATGGTGATCATCTGTTGTCCATGGCCACTGGGGTAGGATGTTGAGTAATGGCTTAACTTTTTGCAGAGGAGATCTATGTTGGAGAGTAGAAAAGAACCTTCTGTCTCCTATAAGGATATTTAGGGATGGAAACAAGTAATCCCTGCCACTGAAAGATGAGAACAGGATGGGTAACCATATCAGGAATGGTCTAGGTACAGTGGATCCTGCCTCAGAGCAGGGGGTTGGGTTAGATGACCTCTTGGAATCCCCTTAGTTAGTCTGCTGAGGTGGAGCTGGTCATGCTGTCTAATCAAAGCATTTATTAAAATCAGGACTGAGGTGGTGACAGTCTGGCATCTTGCCACTTCCTTCATGTGGCTGTTCTGGTATGCAAACTCTTAGGCAGTGATTCCCAAAGGGTGTGCTGCAGCACACTAATGCGCCGTGAGAGCGGTGGAAGGGTGCTGTGAAAAATGATACTTTTCTTTCTTTTTTTTCTCCTTTGTGTTTTAATCCAGAGGCACAGAGTCCATGCAGAGCAAGGCACAGTGCAGGGTGCAGTAGAATGCAGCGCGGCTGTACAGCGGCAGCAATTTGCAGATGTCCAGTCCCAGTACAGCTCCCCAGTGGCTGGAAGTTGCACATGCACTGCATCCAGGGAGCCAGGGGTTGGGGGCAATGGCAGTGGCACTGGGACCAGACATGTGCCAACTGCTGCTGCCACACCCTGCCTGCACCCTGAGGACATACTGTGCACCGGCACATTAATGCCACACTTTGCTGTGCCCAGGGTCATTAATGCTACACTTTGCTGTGCCCAGGTACATGGCAGAGTGCACCTGCGCAGCTCCCCCACTCCTTTTCATCTGACTGCAGGCAACTGGAAACCCTCTTGCTCAGTCCCCGCCCCTGTCCCTCTGAGTTCTATGGAGACCTTGCAACCAAGTATCCCTGTGCCCCACTCCTGACTCCAGCCATGTCTGTACCCTGTGGCTTCCCAGGGCAGCATGGAGTTTGCTTGCCACTTCTTTCTTGGTCCTGGGGTGCACAGTGAAGTGGCTCTATGCACCCTGTTGCAGAGACTGTTGCTCCAGTTCAACCTAATGATGCCACCCCTCCCCGGGGAGGGCTTTCCCCATTCCCCTGCCACTGCTGCTGCTCCCAGAAGTGAGGTCTGTGTGCAGCTTCCAGCCACTGGGGAGCTGTTCTGGGATCAGATATCTGCAAACTGCATTTGCACCACTGCTGCCACTTTTGGCCATTCCCCTTTGCAGGTGTATGAGTGAAGTGTGCTGCCAATTTTAATTCAGAAAAAGTGTGCCCCAGATATCAAAAGGTTTGGGAAACACTGCTCTAAGCCTTCATTTAAAGTCACTGGTTGAGGTGTCAGCAACCATGCCAGTTTGTATGAAATTATGGTTCTGAAAGGAGCAAGTTACTCCATTTATTTTAGTGGGGGTGCCTCAGATGCCCAGTGCTTTAAATGTTAACACTGTTCAATGTCACTGCACACCAATGAATGGAGGAAAGGAGAGGGAGAAACATTAAGACATACAGTCAACTGTGAGCAGTGGCACATGGAGGCACTGGCACATTAATGCCACACTTAAAAGTGTCTCTCTGTCTTCCTAGTTTCCTGGTTAGAGTCTGAACAGCCTCCCACCCAGGGCACCCCAGAGAACAGGATGTAACAAGAATTTAAGGCCTTGTCTTCATTACAAAGTTCCTCTGACAGTGACCTCTTGGGTAGAGATGTGAAAAGATCACCCCCCGGTGGTGGCATAACTTGGCCAGTAACACCTCCTGATGCAGATGTAGTTCTGTTCAGGGGACCTGGTATAATGCTGGTGGCAGAACTCCTTCTGGCAAAAATGTGTTTAGACCAGGAGGCTTCACAAACCCAGGTTAGCAGCCCTGTAGTGTTGACTAAGTACTACAGAAATACAGATGATTCTCTTGGGGATGAATAATGGGATTTGGCTGCTCCTCTGGGAGAAAGGGGAAGGTCTTTGCCAATCCTATTTCTTCCAACACTTCAGCATTTTGTCCTAATTCCCAGTGTGTTAAAATCTAATATATTGTTTTAGTGTTTGTTTACTAACATTAAGAGTGGCAAAATACTTGGCAAACGGTGATCCAATTTCACAACACCTTTGTAATGGAAGGAAACAATTTTCTTATGCAAAATAGAGACAGCGATGCACTAATTTGGCACTAGCAAGTTTCATGGTAGTACTGAGTCCTGAGGTGCTCTAGCCAGCAGGCAAATCTTTTCACCATCCCTACTTCTTCTCCTTCCTCCAAACATCAGTAAGTTTTCATTATTAACAGAGATCATTGCAACCAAACAGTTCAAGCAGTAACCAGTTTCATAAAGCTTGGTTTTAATTGTGCAGTTTTCCAGAGTGTAAATTCCAGCATGTGGATTGAAAGTCAAATGGGGATGCAGGGAGTCTGTCCTACCACAAATTGTTCTGAGTACAATGTAAGTCAAGAATGAATAAAGAAGCTTGGAAGGAGACCCTGGACATGAACTTACCTGTATTCTGCTCCAACTGAGACTGTCACAGATGTGGGAAGGGCTGACATCAAGATCTGGCTCTCAACTTTCCCTATTTTGGAATCAGATCATTAGACCTGAGTTGTGAACCAAATCTTGCCCAAGATATATGGTTTTGGTTAAGACTCAAAATCAGTGTGTTAGATCATACTTACAGTAACAGGCTAAGGCTGACTGGAAATTGAAATAGATGTGCTGCCAGGAGGAACTGTATTAACTGGTAAAAAGCCAGTGCTCTGATCCAAGACTAATACCAATTGTTCATGCTCTGATAAATCAAATATTTATTCATTGCAACTTGACATCTGTGCTTCATTGTTTCCTGTTATGAATATAATGCTTCTTTTAATTCGGCTCCAAAGGGCTGGGAATATGTATTGAAGGGCTGGATAGCTGGTAGCATTATAGGGTTACCTGATGGCATACAAAGAAGGTAGCTGCCTTAGGGGGAGCATGTTGGGACAACTACTGGGCTTGACAAGGACGAAAATGAAAAGTATTGGTCACTGCCTGACTCAGTACCTTGGACAGTGCCAACCCTTGGCAAAAAGACTTGTAATAGAGCTGGAGGTCTGATTTTTAAACTTAGTAAAATTAAACCAGTTCACTGATCCCCACTTAATAAATCTTCATATGGAGCCTGACTAGTCTGCTTACGACTAAAACAGGAACTTGACAGGCCTGATATGTGTGCCTTCCCGTCAAATGCAGATTAAATCACTACTGCCATAGGAAAAAAAAACTGTCGGTGACACAGAAGCCAAGACAAGGGCAGGAAAAGGGAATTCGAAGGACATAAAATGATTTGCATGGAAGTCTTGAATCAGTATATTGTATCACCACTGTTATTCTTTAACTCAATGGGCAGAACCCCCTGCTCTTCTGCTGCACTGCAAGATGAGAAGCCATGACTCTAGCATCAGACAAGCCCAAACATGAAGGAAGAGTAGAAGCATATAGCAAGGTGCATCCAATTATTTCCTTTAAGAGCTCCCACCTAATACGGTGATGATGTTCTCAGAATATCAGGTTCCAAGCTGCCTTTCTGGTTCAGCTGTAAGGACAGTTTGTCTACTCCCAGGCCAGTTCACTTCAGAATGAAACCAGGACTTCTACCCCAGAGGAGATTTGGGAAGGGTCATAAAGATTTTCAATAATCCTCTGATGTAACAGAGTGCAGGATTTTGCTCTACATTGTTAGCATGGCTTATAAAAGCCCCATCAAATCCAATAGGAAGTTGGCATGTGGGTGGTCCTTGACACTGGTGATACAGAAAACCTCCAAGATGCTTTTTAGACATTATTAGACACTTCAACAGTAAATGCATGTCCCTTTAACCACCCTGGCAAACACAACAAATTAAAATGACTTGAAAAGCCTCTTTTCTCTTGGATTTAAATGACACTTCATTTCCAGGGGCCTCATGTCAAACCATAATCTAGTTTCCAGTGTAGGAATGGAAATGGAGAAGGTTCTTATAAATTTTCTGGCTGGATCAAAAAGGGCCTTAGGCTTACAGTTGAGGTTGGATCATTTTAGTTAAGCCCTGAAGGGATATTTTTGTTTCTCTTAAATTGATTGGGAAATGTTCTAAGCTAAATGTAAAAAGGTAAACCCCAACCCAGCATGAGTGCCTGATTCCCAAGGAGCAATCTTGCATTTGGATTGGGAAGAGGAGCTAAGGGTAGTTGTTTGTTTAATGAGAAGAACCAAGACTTTCCTATATTCAGGGGGACATCAGTCTAGTATTTATTTAAAAGAGATTTGACTTAACAGATGCTCTTTTAAATAGGCTGGGATCAGCACATGGAAAAATACCCAAGTTGCATGAAGAAGGTACTCTGACTCCACAGCAGTGACCTCATCTCCACAAAGATCAGAACCATGAGACCCTGCATGTCTATTCCTGCTTTGCAGAGGGGCAGCAATAATGGTTAGTTGCCAGTAAAGAAATATTTCTGAAGGTGATCTTCATGTCTTCCTAAGCCTGCAGGGGGACACGCTGAAATAATGACCAAGATGAAAGCCATGAGTCTAACTCCAACAGTATGTTAACTCTGAATCCTTCGTTCTAAGTACCAGCACTATTACACTGCTGCTTATTTGTCTTGAACTTAAACTATCCTGGGCACAAGGTCACTGTGGAAGCTAGCAAATTCAAGCTAAAAACAACAGGCTTAATCCTATAAGGCACACTTCAAAAAGTGCAAGTCACTTAACTGTCTTTTCATTAATGATTTGCTGTTTCTTTAAACTGGAGTAAAACTCCTTGCTGCTAGAAGTTAAGCCTGGAAGCTTAAATTAAAGGCACAATTGTGGAAAGGGATGTTATATTTGCCCAATGCTAGAACCCTTGTTGCATATTTATCTCTGATTAAATATCATTGCTGTCTCTAGAGTGCATAGAATATGAGCTTTTCTTATTCTCAGATCCATTTTTGGTTTTTGGGAGAACTTATGACCAGATCTGGCTGGAAAATGTCATTTTCATTCCATGGGAAATTCCAAATTTTAGATTATATTTTTTCAGTATGAATTGACCCAAAGCTAAAATTTTCCATGGAACAAATATTCCAAAACTCCTTCATTTTGACAGTACTGAGTCATCTGTTTTAGAGAGGTTAAATCATCATAATAAAATATCAATATATATAGTTAGATTTTATTCTAAAGCCAAATACTTTTCCCCTTCTGCTATCAGAGGTCATCAAGTGATACATCCCCACACAAGTCTTAGTTTTTGACAAAACCTTATACTTTGAAAAAAAAAATGTTCTGCTGGAAATTTTTTGACCAGCTCCACTTGAAACCTATCTTCCCATAAAGATGATGCCACTCACCAGTAACAGTAAATGACAGTTTGACTTAAGAGTCATAGAAAAATAGGGTTAGAAGGGACCTCAGGTGGTCACCAAGTCCAACTATTGCTCAAAGTAGTTCAGACAGGAATGATCCCATCTCAGCAAGGTGTTTGGAAGTTCTTAAGTACTGACAATGATGGAGATACCACAAGCATTCAGAATAATCTGTTTTAGTATTTACCCATCCTCATATTTAGAAAGGTCTTCCTAATATTCAACCTAAATTTCCCATTTCAATTTTAGCCCATTACTACTTGTCCTGTCACCTGTGGAGGCAGAGACTTGGTTGACCTTTAGGATCCCTCTGAGGTCATTGCTTTCTTTGCTATTTTATTTTAGAAACTCCTGTGAAACCATTTCTCGGCACACTTGATGCAGATCAGCAGGGACCAGAATCACTGGGGGCACAGTCGAAGGAGAAGCAATGCTTTCTATTGCACACTAGAAAAGAGCTATTGAACAAACATGTAGATGACACAAACTGCAAAGGAGAAGGATTTTTTGCCAGTGGTAAGTCTTTGAAGAACTCAGTACTGCATGGGTAGAATAGGACTTTTGAGGCTGATTGGGAACAAATCTGAGGGTTTCTACAAAAGGAGAAACAGAACTTTGTACACATTTGAGTATGTGTGGCATGATATGGTCAGATGTCTTTAAGGGTACACCTTCAATGTAGTAATGTAGGCTAGTTTAACACTGCAAAGCTCTAATCTTCTCAGCCCCATGGACCTATATTCATAAAGAAGCTGTACTGATCTGGGTGCTGGGACAGATTTCTGGTGCTACACTGATGCCTTAATCCTCTGCTCTCTGACCTCATTAACAGGTGGCTCTCTCTTGCCTATCATAGAGCGGCAGCCTGGAACAGTGACATGAGAACAACACTTTATGCAAGGTTCCAATAACAGGATTCATTCTTCCAGCACGCTTCCAAAGGGAAAAGCGGACAGCATGTCACAGCATGGATGTTTAATGAATGTCATCAGATTCAGTCTCCAAATCACGAAGAGATTTGTAGCACACTTGTCTGACTTTTCCACCTGTCCAGTTCTTTCTTGTCCACTAAACATAGCCTCTGTTCTTCATGCCACTGTACAGAGTTTCTTTGGGTGGTGTCTGCCAACTTCAAAGACACCTTCATGAAGCATTGGTGTTGTTGGAGGCCCTCTGTTTAGCCCTTTGACTTCACTCCCATCTCCAAGCTGAAGTATCCTCCATATTCATTTGAACCATCACCCTGTCTGAGTCTTTAGTTTCAGGTGGACATAGACCTGCCTGCACCAGTCACTCTAATAAGCAAATGTGAAAATGTCACCATGGGGTCATTTTCCTGAGGTTATGGGTGTCAGCTACTATCCTACGGTCAGAATAGGAGGTAGACTGTTCAAACACCATACAGGTGCAGCAGAAAAGAAGCAGGTAAATGTGGGGCTAAAATACTTAAGTGCAGGGGCTTCTGAAGAAGAAGGGAGGAAGCAGACAAAGCATAGATGAGGTGAAGTTGTGGGATGTGAAACTGTGCTGGGCCTGATCACTCTGGGCTCTCACTGCAACACAGGCTGAAACAAAATGCAGGTTTAAGGCTATGTCTTTAACTGTGCTTGCTTGCTCATATTTATAGCATGCTTGAGTTTAGTTAGAAGTTTTTCTGTGCAGCTGAGGGCTGTGGTAGCACCTGCATGTACTCTATATGAAGACATTCTGAAAGTGGCTGGCAGCATTCTGAAAACTGGGATAGAGCTGGGAGGCAACAAAGTCTAGGATGGATACAACATCAAGGCTAGCAGCAAATGGGGGACGCAAGTTAAGAAGAGATCCAGAAAATTTGGATACAGTGACTGGTGTGCTGTTCCACAAAGCGTGAAAGGGAAAAACATCTTACTAAACACTGTATCAGAAAACAAAGACATCCAGTTACCCTTTAATTCCTCCTTCAGACTTATATCTTTAAATCCTCATGTGGCTATCAGCTAGTTCCCTTGAATTCCATGTTTCAGTCCACATTCCTTTCCTTTCTGATTTATTTTTAATTTCAATGAATTCAAGTCAAAAGGGGAAGAGCTGGAGCAGCCACAGTTAGTCAAGTTGGAGCAATATTAAAGCAGGCATGTT